TCCCTGGCGACAGACTCTGGATCTTCCTGGGGAATTCCCAGGCATTCCCAAATCAGCCAAGCGACATATTCCCACCAGCAAGTCCAGGCCCGGGCCCCGGGGACTTCCCTCAGTGGGACGTGCCCGATAGAGTTCCAGGGGCAGTCTATTGGGGGGCCTCGTTACAGATATTGTATATTGATATCACTCGTGGAATGAGGCCTGGTGGCTCGGTGACCCACGTAACCCATTTGGACCCAGCCTGGAATGGCTGCGTGGCACCGTCCTGTGCGCCCACCATCCACAGTACGAAGAGTGAGAGGCGGGTGCGATGCCAGTATGGCAGGGAGAGGGATGGTCTCAGACAGACTAGACCTTGGTGATGGACACTCACAGCTTTGTATGGCGCAAAAGTCCAGGCAGCTTCCACACAGTGTTACACAGTCTAATGAAAGAATGCTGCTAGACAAATTTAAAGTGAGACTTTGGCTGCCAAACCAGAGCTGGTCGTGAACACATTAACCAGGTATGGGAGCTCCTCCATTACTTGCAGAACTGCCTGATTACTCATGGAAAGTTGAGCAGGTACAGTGTTGTATGACATGAAATTCCCAGGCAGGTGATTTATTTTGGTGGAACATACGCAAGGCCACCTTTCATGATGGAATTATCCGGCACAGAACGAGATTATCTAACCCGATCTCATTGAGTAGCCATTTCCAGATCATCAGCAGATATAACATGGTTGACCAGGGAACGATCCCTTAACTATAACAGGCATCGATGCGCGTATCATTTTAACCGTAACAAATGCTATTTATTTCTATGGCCATTGAGAGCTTCTCAAACGACATAATTATTTAAGATGCTCTGTAATGTAATGCATTGGCCAGAGTGAATTTTTGTCACAAGCCAAGTTGAACAGGAAATGACTCCGACTCCTGGTCACGCAGCTTTAGACGGGCTTTCCCAAAATCATAAAAATCATCAAAGAATGTGAGCAGAGGCAGAGACGTAAAAAACAAAGAACCCAAAGCCCCAAGCCTCTATATGGTACTATATGCCTTAATTGCATCAATAAAGCAGAGATATAGTTTCTGCTGAAAATCGGCACTCCTCAGCCCCTTGAATATAGAGGTTACGATCTGGGAAAGTGCCTCGCAAAGCCAAAAGTGCGATATTCAATACTTAAGCCTTACCTAAATAATGGCATGAGGTAAAAGGAAAATAAAAAAACTAAACAATTAAAATGAACATTGAGAAACCATACACAAGACAAAATATGGGAAAAATCTATATAAATAAAGCAAACTTTGTGCACATGAACGTTTTTTTGGGAACCAAATTGTGCCAACACCACCAGATGGCAAAAATCTAACATTGTCCATCCTGAAGCTCTCCAAGGGCAACGTATTTAAAAGCTGTCCTCATGAAACAAACAAGCCCCGCTATTGTATAACACAACCACAAAACCGTGACAATATACACATTTACAGCTTTCTTTGGCAGAATTAAATTATTCTAATAAAGCCAGCATGGCAAGACATTACTTTTAATGTTTGATTACCGAGACCTGAGCTTAGCCGGGAAACTTAGTTATTACTGGATACTATACTTCCGATAAAGTTTGTGCGTGAGTGGGGAGCGGTAGTGCAACGGTTAGCGTGCTGCGCTATTAACCCAGCGAGCCGATTTATATTCCCACAGAGCCAAGCCACAACATTTGGCTGTCGTCTGATGAAGCTGGTTGGAATTAGTGTCAAAACGTTGTACTCAGATTGTAAATGTTGTGGCTTGGCTCTTCAACACACCGGATGTGCTGTACTAGTACACTACACTATACACTACTATACACTCATCATCATCATGGCTTGGCTTCGCGAACGAAGATCTAGGAAGGACATCCACGTCTTCTGCAGGCACGCTGGTGGCTGAAGAGGCCTATTAACTACATTATACACAACTATACACTACACTAAACTATACACTACACTATACACTACTATACACTATACTATACACTAAACTACACACTAGTGCTGTACTAGTGACGCATTGGCCACGTTCTGTTTACGTGACAAACCCTTACTAATTGGCTGTGTCGGGTGGTGGCGGGGTGAACGACGCATTTATTTATTTACGCGATCTCACACAAACAAACCTGTTTTATGCCTGTATATTTGGAGTTTGCGTGTTCCTCTCTCTCCGTGGTCGCGTGGATTCTCCTCCGGATCCTGCGGTTTTCCCTGCACATTTAGAGTCAACATCACCACGCGTTTAGAGTATTTGACCGATAAACATTTCCACACGTTAAATTTCGATTTAAAGCTTTCGTGACTGCAGGGATTCATCTTCTTGGTTCTTTCGGTAAAGTCACGTAGAAGGGAAGTAATAAACTAATCAAAATAAAACATAATAAAATAATTCTCACGACGTTTCGGCCACAACGCAAGCACCCGTCCCTCAGGTGAAAACCAGGTGTCGACAGACCTGGTTTTCACCTGAGGACGGCTGCTTGCGTTGTGGCCGAAACGTCGTGAGAATTATTTTATTATGTTTTATTTTGATTATTTTATTACTTCCCTTCTACGTGACTTTACCGAAAGAACCAAGACGATTTCCACACGTTGATAAGCCCACTGTGTTGTGGGCAGGTCGCTTCTGAAAACGAGCGGTGTAGCTCAAGTGGCCTATGCCTGGTAAAATAAAAAAAACGTAGAAATATTTAAAGTAAAACAAAGTTTCAAAGTAGTGAGCCAGGTGAAGACAAATTAAACTTAAGCAGAGAATTAAAGCAAATGCAATCAGGCGAGGGCAGGAGGCAAGGCCCCGCATGGCTAGGCCCCGCGTTGTAATGTTCCAACCTGGACATCGATTCCATACTCGCTGCTACTCAATTGATATCCCTACGGAGAAGGAGCGAGGCTCTACCTGGGTTCACAACACAACAACCACCACAACAACAACAACCACCACGATGTAAACTTCTCACCTCGGATCTCAGTGAGCGAGCGGGCGCGGAGCAGCAGCTACCTGGTAACTCGTGACGTCATGCGGCAGCAGAGGTGACATGACGTCACTTGCGGGGTTCACACAATCCTCTTCCCCAACGAGCAGCAGGGTAACTGAATATATTATGTTAATGAGAGGGGCCCATGTCAGGTGATGGTTCTTGGCTGCTGACCCCGTCCCAAATAAGCATTTTACTGGAACGGAAATCGGCAGACGTGACGTCACGCTCAAAATCCCGGTGGGGGGTAATTACCTCGGTGACATGACGTCACTAATGGGGACACCTCCCCCTCGCATATCATGCCGAGTTAATGAGGGGTGACGTCAGAGAGCGAGATCAGGGTTAGAGTTCAAGTTTATTTAGATTCCATTTCTGTGGCTCCCTCTCTTGAACAGAAACCCATTGGGTGCGTGAGCTCAACAACAACGTGAACATTGTGTGTGGACACTGTTTGTTGGCGCAGTCGGGGGCACAGGTGGTGCATTGGCCAGTCATTTAAGTCAGTCGACCCATGACACCTGGATCTGCCCCGTGCACATAGCCTGGCACAAGCGCCGTGGTGACGTCACCGCCACTTAGTGGCGAATGGCGGTTGTTACTGGTGTATACACTGTGCGTGTACAGACTGTTTGTATACTGTGTGGGCAAACTGTGTGTACGCTGTGTACATGGTGTGTGTAGATCTTGTGGGTATACTGCGCGTGTAGTGTGGGTGGTCCGAATCAGTCGGGCGGCATTATATTTACATCGGCTGCGCTATGCTGTGTGGAAGCTGCCTGGTCTGTCGCTCCACATGAAGCTTCGGTTCTTCTCGGCCAGTCATGCCCTCCCTAATGTAGGCATGTGAAACGTGGACCCCTCTAAATGGAACATCTGCGCCAGTTAGACACATTCAGGCTGTCATGCCTACACTCAGATTGAGGGAAGCCAAGTAGAAGCACATTCTCTATTTATTGCAGAGGTTCAAGGTTCAAATCCGACAGGCACGTCTGGCTACTCAAGGAACATTTAACAAAATATGCACCGTCTGCTTAACAGTGGATGTAAAACATACGATTGTGTCATTCAAAACGCATAGGTCATTGCATGTTGGTGTCATGGTCAATATTTGGGCAATTTCAAACATTATCCAGAAATTACATAATGAAGATTACACATCAATCATCACCCCCTACTGACAGACTCATGCCCACATGCAGGTGACAGCAGAGTCACCTTATGACAGAGGCAGCTGCCACTTGAAGGTGCTCTTCGAGTGTTTGTGATGAGATATGAAACTGAGTTGCTGAGGCAATTAAACACCATATCAATGCAAATATAAATATAACAGTGGAATACTTAGAAGCTTATTGGCTCTTGCTCCTGATTCTTCATCTACCCAACCCACAGGTCAACAAATACTCGCCGCTCTTACTCTGCAGGTTGAACCCAGGAATTCAGTGTTCAATTTCACGTTCTTTTCATTAAAGGCCTGTGACAAAGGTGCATCTATTGGAGCTTCATTGTCTCAAGCCTACCCATCTACCGGGTCTCCATTTGACTTTGTATTGTCTAAGAAGTCCACCCACACCTCCACTTCCACAAACTGCTGGGAGTTGCCTAGCTCTGCCTCGCAGTCAGAATTCTCCTCCTGCTTCACGTTGTCTCCATCGATGTGAAGGTACGATTTTGGAGTTGAATCTTCATCTTCACAGTTTACCGTCACTTTTTCGCTCTTCACCATCACTTCACATTTCACCTTCACTTCTTCGCTCTTCATCACTTCTTCACATTTCACCTTCGCCTCTTCACATTTCACCTTGATACCTTTAAAAGTGTCCAAGCTGGGATTCACTTCTGGTTTCATGAGGGATGGGCTCATTGCAGCACTTTGACTTTCACAAGCCGATTTCAGACTCCATTTCTTGGGGATCTTCTGATGCTTGTGTGTCCTCTGGTGTCTTTTAAGAATTGATGACTGTGCAAACGCCTTCCCACACAGAGTGCAACTGAAGGGTTTCTCTCCCGTGTGTGTTCTCTGGTGTCTATGAAGACCTGATGACTGTGCAAATGCCTTGTCACACACAGTGCACTTGAAGGGTTTCTCTCCCGTGTGTGTTCTCTGGTGTAATTGAAGATGTTGTGAATGTGCAAACGCCTTCCCACACACAGTGCACTTGAAGGGTTTCTCTCCAGTGTGTGTTCTCTGGTGTAATTTAAGATATGGTGATTGTGCAAACGCCTTCCCACACAGAGTGCAACTGAAGGGTTTCTCTCCTGTGTGTGTTCTCTGGTGTATTTTAAGATGTTGTGAATGTGCAAACGCCTTCCCACACAAAGTGCAACTGAAGGGTTTCTCTCTCGTGTGAGTTCTCTGATGTAATACAAGAGCAGATGACTGTGAAAACGCCTTCTCGCACAGACTACACTTGAAGGGTTTTTCTCCTGTGTGTGTTATCCGGTGTTTTTTAAGAGGAGATTTATCTGAAAATGCCTTCCCACACACACTGCACTTGAAGGGTTTATCTCCCGTGTGTGTTCTCTGGTGCGATACAAGACCAGATGACTGTGAAAACGCCTTCCCGCACAGACTGCACCTGAAGAGTTTCTCTCCCGTGTGTGTTCTCTGGTGGATCCTAAGAACTGATGAATGTGAAAATGCCTTGTCACACACAGTGCACTTGAAGGGTTTCTCTCCTGTGTGTGTTCTCTGGTGTATTTTAAGATTTTGTGAACGTGCAAACGCCTTCCCACACAGAGTGCAACTGAAGGGTTTCTCTCCCGTGTGTGTTCTCTGATGTAATACAAGAGCAGATGACTGTGAAAACGCCTTCGCGCACAGACTGCACTTGAAGGGTTTTTCTCCTGTGTGTGTTCTCCGGTGTTTTTTAAGAGCAGATGAATATGAAAATGCCTTCCCACACACACTGCACTTGAAGGGTTTTTCTTCCGTGTGTGTTCTCTGGTGGTTCCTTAGAACTGATGGATATGAAAATGCCTTGTCACACACAGTGCACTTGAAGGGTTTCTCTCCTGTGTGAGTTCTCTGGTGCTGTGTTAAATGTCCAACACGATCCATGCTGTATGCACGCTGGTCGCGTTGTTGCCTTTTTGTACCGAGCTGCGCTGAGTGCCTTTGTTCCATCAAACCAATTCTGCAGAGGAAGCGTCAGCTGCAGACAGAAAAAAGAGAATATCCACACTATCTACGTCAGTATTGAGGCACAAAGGAATGCATATATACAGTCACACATGACTTGCATGTCTATACTCATTCATATATTCATGATAATATGAAAAAGATTCCCAAATTCATCACACGGGCACACAATCAGAGGGCCAATGGTCAACCTGGAAGCCCTAGTATCTTCAAAATGAATGTTAACCTAAAACTCCAAGCACACAATTTCAGTTTTCTGGCTACAAAAAGAATATTTATAAAAGAAAAATGCAGCTAACATAGAAAAGGGTGTTGAAAATAATACTATTTTTATTATGCAGAAATGCATAAATTAATGTTCAATCGCTAACTTAGAGGCATGAAGCCAGGCTCAGATTTCCTTGAATGCTGGGATGAACAGATCTAACTTCAGCTGCATATGTGCAGTGTTAATTTCCTGTTTCCATTCTCCTAAAAATTTCCAGAGGAAAAAAAGTATATACTATTGTTTTGATTTAACCTCCGTGTTCAATCGAGTTAATATACTTTACTGCAAATACAAACTTGACACTGTAACACACACTGGCATGGAAAAAAGGTGGTGGTGTGTTCAGAACCATGCCTGGCCACCTTCATATGCTCATTATTAATGCTTCCCCACAATAAGTTAAGTTTTCATGAATCAATCACGTTTGTTGTCAGAGATAATCAAACTTTAATTGTGATAACACTATGTAACACAATTTTTGTTCCTGGGTACTAAGTGTTATTTTTTTTATTGCTTATGCCTAAGAGTCTAGAAATTGGCTATTATTCCCCACAAATTTTGCTTTTGTGACCAGAATTGTACGTGAACGAAAATAACAAATTCACCTGTTTTTTCATTGAAAAGAGGTACATTTCTAAATATCACTGTCCTGGTCACAAAAGCAAAGTTTGTGGGGAATAGCCATTTTTTGTACTTAAGAGGCAAAAGCAATTAGGAAATAACACATACAGGAACAAGACATTTTTTTTGTTACACAGTGGAAAAACTGCGCCACCGCTCCCCACATAGATAAACTCTTACATACACATATATTTCACATGAATGCCATGTAAGTGTGGATCACTTGTCAGCATGTCATGAGAATGATCCAGGTGTCAAGGGATGACTGACTGAGATGATTAACAGACGCACCAGCTGTGCTTCCTGCTGTCTTGCTGCATTTGAGGCACCCAGCGTTCCACCCATTCATGTGATCGTTGCTACTCCAACCTCATTGTTGTTGCAGAGCAAATACCTCCAACTCCCCTGCAGCATACGTCATGGGCCTCTTCGAGAGGCCGATCTTGACAGCAGGTCTGATCAACTCCACATCCTCCAATCTCTTCTCTAGCCAATGCCATGCCCGTTTAGCCCGTAACATCTGGACTAACAGAAGATGATTGTGCATGCTGTCTGTTTATGCGGAATTCATGACCCAACCAATGCAGCCTCCCTGCCAAAGTCTCAGATTATATTCTGTACTGATATTTTAGGGCTCTGTAAGGTTATAATACAATCTTGTTTGGTTCAATAGAGGGGATCATAGGCTGGCCAGTCTTAATTATAAGCCAGAACAGACGGTCCTTTAAATAAGTTAATATTTTGCATCTACAGAGAAAGGAGTAATATCTGTGGCCAAGAAGACTCGCAGCTTTGTTTGTTCGTTTATTTCTAAATCCTCTTGTCTTGGTGAGGGTTGTAGCGGCAGCAGATTTAGTAGGGCAGTCCAGACTTCCCTTTCCCTGGCGACAGACTCTGGATCTTCCTGGGGAATTCCCAGGCATTCCCAAATCAGCCAAGCGACATATTCCCACCAGCAAGTCCAGGCCCGGGCCCCGGGGACTTCCCTCAGTGGGACGTGCCCGATAGAGTTCCAGGGGCAGTCTATTGGGGGCCTCGTTACAGATATTGTATATTGATATCACTCGTGGAATGAGGCCTGGTGGCTCGGTGACCCACGTAACCCATTTGGACCCAGCCTGGAATGGCTGCGTGGCACCGTCCTGTGCGCCCACCATCCACAGTACGAAGAGTGAGAGGCGGGTGCGATGCCAGTATGGCAGGGAGAGGGATGGTCTCAGACAGACTAGACCTTGGTGATGGACACTCACAGCTTTGTATGGCGCAAAAGTCCAGGCAGCTTCCACACAGTGTTACACAGTCTAATGAAAGAATGCTGCTAGACAAATTTAAAGTGAGACTTTGGCTGCCAAACCAGAGCTGGTCGTGAACACATTAACCAGGTATGGGAGCTCCTCCATTACTTGCAGAACTGCCTGATTACTCATGGAGAGTTGAGCAGGTACAGTGTTGTATGACATGAAATTCCCAGGCAGGTGATTTATTTTGGTGGAACATACGCAAGGCCACCTTTCATGATGGAATTATCCGGGCACAGAACGAGATTATCTAACCCGATCTCATTGAGTAGCCATTTCCAGATCATCAGCAGATATAACATGGTTGACCAGGGAACGATCCCTTAACTATAACCAGGCATCGATGCGCGTATCATTTTAACCGTAACGAATGCAATTATTTATATGGCTATTGAGAGCTTCTCAAACGACATAATTATTGAAGATGCTATGTAATGTAATGCATGGGGGCAGAGTGAATTTCTGTCACAAGCCAAATTGAACAGCAAATGGCTCCGACTCCTGGTCACGCAGCTTTAGACGGGCTTTCCCAAAATCATAAAAATCATCAAAGAATGTGAGCAGAGGCAGAGACATAAAAAACAAAGAAACCCAAAGCCCCAAGCCTCGATATGGTACGATAGACCTTAATTACATAAAAAAGCAGAGACATTACTCTTAATGTTTGATTACTGAGACCTGAGCTAAGCCGGGTAACTTAGTTATTGCTGGATAAATACTATACTTCTTCTTGGTTCTTTCGGTAAAGTCACGTAGAAGGGAAGTAATAAAATAATAAAAATAAAACATAATAAAACAATTCTCACGACGTTTCGGCCACAACGCAAGCAGCCGTCCTCAGGTGAAAACCAGGTCCGTCGAGGCGACAGAGTCTGAATGAAAACAGCACACGGGCTTGGAGCATATATATAAGCTGGGCGCATTGACAAAGGAATTTGCATATCAACAGGAATTTAGCATATACTATACTTCCGATGAAGTTTGTGTGTGAGTGGGGAGCAGTAGTGCAACGGTTAGCGTGCTGCGCTATGAACCCAGCGAGCCGATTTCTATTCCCAGAGCCAAGCCACAACATTTGGCTGTCGTTTGATGAAGCTGGTTGGAATTACTGTCAAAACGTTGTACTTAGAGTGTTAATGTTGTGGGCTTGGCTCTCCAAAACACCGGTGAGATGTACTAGTACACTACACTACACACTAGTGCTGTACTAGTGACGCATTGGGCAGTGCACGTTCTGTTTACCTGACAACCTCTTACTAAATGGCTGTGTCGGGTGGTGGCGGGGTTAACGGCACATTGATTTATTTACGCGATCAATCCCAAACAAACCTGTATATTTGGAGTTTGCGTGTCCCTCTCTCTCTGTGGTCGCGTGGATTTTCCTCCGGATCCTGCGGTTTTCCCTGCACATTTAGAGTCAACATCACCACGCGTTTAGAGTATTTGACCGATAAACATTTCCACACGTTGATCAGCCCACTGTGTTGTGGGCAGGTCACTTCTGAAAAAGAGCGGTGTAGCTCAAGTGGGCTATGCCTGGTAAAATAAAAAAAACGTAGAAATATTTAAAGTAAAAACAAAGTTTCAAAGTAGTGAGCCAGGTGAAGACAAATTAAACTTAAGCAGAGAATTAAAGCAAATGCAATCAGGCGAGGGCAGGAGGCAAGGCCCCGCATGGCTAGGCCCCGCGTTGTAATGTTCCAACCTGGACATCGATTCCATACTCGCTGCTACTCAATTGATATCCCTACGAGGGAGAAGGAGCGAGGCTCTACCTGGGTTCACAACAACAACAACACACCACAACAACAACCACCACACGATGTAAACTTCTCACCTCGGATCTCAGTGAGCGAGCGTGCGCGGAGCAGCAGCTACCTGGTAACTCGTGACGTCATGCGGCAGCAGGAGGTGACATGACGTCACTTGCGGGGTTCACACAATCCTCTCCCCAACGAGCAGCAGGGTAACTGAATATATTATGTTAATGAGAGGGGCCCATGTCAGGTGATGGTGCTTGGCTGCTGACCCCGTCCCAAATAAGCATTTACTGGAAC